AAACAGAGGTGGAGATGTATGTGTTCAATGTCAAGAGGTGCAAGCTCAATGGCTGTCTCAAAAGGAATTGGGGTTCTCCAGGCCTCAATGTTTTACCTTTTACTCCTTCTCGCTTTCGATGTGCCTACAGTTCGTAGCATAGTTTCTTCTTTTGTATCTTACTTTCATTTAATTTAGATTCAAGTACTCAGATCTTTTGCATGTTACTTCCATTTAAGTGAAGAGAAACTTCAATATTTGGAGTTCTTCTTGTTTTATTTTGTGCTTTTTCCATCTATGGATTCTTTATGTAAATTTTAATGTTACTATGTAAATAATTCATAAGTGGTGTGCTTGCTATGCCTTGACTGATATGAGGTTTATGCTTCTGTAACCTAGCTCATTACTCGTGCATGTTTGTGTAGAATTATTGGTACAAGTGTTAACTTTGTTATGAAATTGTTCTTAATCTTGGATGCTGCATACTTGAATGGGTCAGGGTCAGGCTCAGGCTCAGGCTCAGGCTTAGGCTTTAATGTGTTCTCTCTCGTTCTCCCCCATGCCCATGCAAATTGTAGCAGGGTTTCGCCAGTGGTTTAAACAGTGGATGGCCTAGACCTTTTTCATATGTTGCAGTTCTAGTAGGGATGGGGTTAGATAGGCTCCTGCTTCCTTGCTAGAAACCAGAAACTATCCCTCTTGACTTGCAAATCAGTGTAGGAAAATTCGAATAGGAATGGACATGGGGTTCAAAGTAGTTCAACCAGCCTAATAGTAAGTCCGGGGCGGTCAAAAAAGTTTATTTAAAAAAATAATATAAAAAAAATCTAATAATATATGAAAATTATATTCAAAGCATGAGTACATCCAAATGAAGTTGAAAATTAATTAAAAAAAATGGATTTTAAAGAATCTAAGCTGTGTTTTTAGAATTTTTCAAAAAAGATAAAAAAAATGTAAAAATAAGTATTAATGGCTAAAACAATTTCCAATCTTGGCCAAAATAATGAAAATATTTAAAAATACATTACCAATGAAATTCCTTATTTTTTTAGAATTTTATGTATTTATTTTTGAATTTTTTTAAACTTACCCGATCGTTTCCTGATTTTGCTCAAATTGGGTCTAACAGGGTGGTTAGAATTTTAACCGCCCGATTTTTCCTCCATTGTTGCAAACTCATGGCTATTCCCGTAGCCGCAACTTGTGGGGTGATTCTAAGAAGGTTTCTCAATTGATTTTCTCATTTTCCAGTAGCATACCTGTGCACGCGAATTTACCTACTATTTTGATTTCATTTACCTCCATCAATGTTGTCAAATTCGCTTCGGCCGAAGCTTTCGGAATTTAGGTACAAACCGAAGCAAAGAGAAACTTGGTGTTGTCGCTTTAGTCAGATTCGGGTCGATTCGGCCAGATTTGGGTTTGCTTCAGCCGCTTTGGTCACAAAAAAAATACCTACATAAAAATAATTTTTAAATTTTCTATTATTTTTATATAATTTATATCTAATTTATTTATATTAAATTAAAAAAAATCTGAAATCTTCTCTTGAATTGGCTGAAAAAGACTCCGAAACGAATCCGGCAACATTGCCCTCAGCCATTGCTATCATGGCCATCACAGGAGGCACCCTCGATATCCGTTTCAATTTTATAATAAGACCCAGGTTGTGCCCCATATTCATTCGACGTTATTTTCTTCAGCCACATGAAATGTGCATTTGAATTCCTTTTTTTGTTTTAACGGTTGCTCGCTAGTTCAAGAGGTTGCATCCAAAACATTTGAGGTCCTAAGCACTCGTAGCTTGAGCTTTACCCGAGGGATCAAATAGAAAGTATACTTCCAGAGCAAGCAGCATGGATTTTTATTAAGAGAAATTCAGTCTTTTGGCTAAGTAAGGTATTGGTTGTTTATAAAAAGATCATTAATCTTTTATACATGGATGTCATAATCATTTTTATCCTTTAAATTTTTAAATGGGTGGTTTTAAGAGTGGCATTGAATAGACATAGTTTTTAAAATTTTTTTTCAGACTTCATGACTCACCCCAAAGCTGTCCAATTTGACATTTAATGATAAAAAATGATTGTGACTTTCATGTATAAAAGATAAAAAAAAAAGTTTATATAAGGTTGCAACCTTAAAATGTAGAATTAAAGATGCGACTCAAAAATTCATCTGAATTTCCTTCTAAGCGATTATCCCGACATTAAGATGTATGAATATGAAAAAAAAAAAAGATTTTGGATCCCAAAAATAATGCATCTTGCAACACATTATCCAGACCGTCCATTTTGATCTTAATTATTTTTAGATTTTAAAATTTTGTAATTAGATATTAAAATAGATTTTCAAATAATCTTAAGAAGTTTTATTTATAAAATAAAAAAGTGCGCCTTACTTTGATTGTTTTAAGGTTGCAACCTTATAAAAACCGCACCCAAAGATAAATATTCCCTTTGTAAACAATCTATAATCCCTTTGTAAACAATCCCATTAGATATACTATAGGTAAATGGACCGTATAAAATATTTTGGCTAAAATATACATTTTATAAAATATTTGCTGGTGTTATGTTGGCAATAAAAGATTTTCTCCAATCCATATCCCCCGGAACTTTTCTTTTCTGAGAAGTGCCCAAGAAGTTTACTTAAGAAATTCACCTAGCCCCATAATCTAAGCAATGATATGAGAATAGTAAATAATGTCATTCAAAAGATTTTACATTCTAATAAATGCACTCTCTATGCAGCTAAAAATAACATTTAAAATTGAGTCTTATCCAAAACTAAAGAATTCCTTATGCAAAATTGAGTCTTATGCAACTTCTTTTCAAAGCCCTGTCTCACTCCTCTCTCTCATCCCTATAAGAAACTCATATCTCACTCCTCTCTCTAGATTTGCTATTTCCACAATGGGGTTTTTAGAAATTAGTTATATAATTTATTATTTATTTGTTTTTTCATATTTTGTAATGAACTTAAATTTGAGGAATATTAATTAGATTTTAAAAAGATAAGTAACCAATACGATTCCTAAAAGAAAATATGAGGTGTTATATTTATTTTTAGGGAAGTTATCATTTTAGTCCCCCTTTAAATCGAAATTTCAAGTGAAAACTTCCAAGTGTCTTTGACCCCCTTCTATTAGCTTCATTCCCTTTCCCATGTATTTTTGCCTAGTAACTCAACAATATCCCAATAGAAATATCAAAATGACATCCTAACTAGAACTCGTTGTTTCTGAAGCCCATTGGTCTCTTAAACTTGATGTAAAACAAATATTCTATTTTGAAATTTCTCTCCAAGAAATCAAGAAATCAAGAAAAAAAATAAAATAGAGGGCAGGAAAAACCGGGGAGTGAGATAAAAAAGAAGAATCAATAAACTGAAGGGGAGGATGGAGAGATCGAGGGTGAAAACGAAGATAAAAGAGAATTAGATGCCCCTCAATTTTTGAGGGCTTGATCGAAGTATTTTACGGCTTAAAATCATTTTTTTTTTTTTTTGAGAAAATAGCATCTAACCCTCTCCCTGAAATTTTTATTCTTATTAACCTCTTTGGGTTCACCAAAATCCCTTGTCCCCTCAAGTTTTAAATTTTGAGACCATTAGCCCTTTAATTATGTTTTTCTTTGTTCTTTTTACAAAATTGGTCCCTTTGTTTTACAAAATGCCAAACCATTACATTAGTCATCCATATTTTTTTTTGTAACTTGATATACAAATTTTAATGATGATAATAATTTATAATTATTATAATTAATTAATAATTATAATAATAACAATAATAACAACAATAATATATTAATTGTTAAATATTTCATCTCTTATAGGTATTTTGATAAAGTTTTTAATATATAAATAAATAAATAATAACCATTAACAATAGTAACAAATATCTTGATTAATCATTTTCAAGATCGACGATATAGATATAATTGTCAAATAAGTCATAATGTTAAAGAAAAATTCATTTCTTTTCATGTCTAAATTTGTAGAGTGAGATCCATGGGGGTAAAATTGGTTTTAGGCATTGGAAGAGAAAGGAAAAGGAACATTTTGTAAAATAAAAAGATCAAATTTGTTAAAACACAAAGAAAAACACAATTAGAGAGTTAACCGTTCCAAAATTTTAAATTTAAAGGGTACAAGGGATTTTGGTGAACCCAAAGAGCAAATAAGATCGGAAGTTTCAAGGAGGGGGTAAAAGCCATTTCCCTCCTTTTATTTATTTATTTATTTATTTTTTTAACAATCATCTAGTGATAACTCTTTAGTGGATTCCAAATTTTCATATCAAGAAACCAACTCCTATTCCATTAGGAGACCTTAGAAATAAAAGGTTAAAGAATTCATGTACCAACTCCTATTCCATTAGGAGACCTTAGAAATAAAAGGTTAAAGAATTCATGTAGTGTCTGAGGGCTAGATGACTCCACCATGGCAAATGGAATTATAAACTTAAAATTTGAGCTAATTTTAGTAAAAGAAAAATGAACAATACCTTCTAACTCGGTTGGATACCAAGCCAAAACCAAGTCACCATTAAATAAGACCAGGGAAATGAGTTCTCCCCTCCATATGAACTTATTTTAGAATGTTTGGTTGAAAGCTTCATTTCTCTCTCTCCACACGCTTTATACAGACAACCTTAGTTTTCAAGTCATTAAATTAATCAATTGTAACAAATTCCAATAGATATCCATCCAATTACATCTTACAGCCTGCGCCTGCGAGAGAGAGAGTTGGTTTCGGGAAACAGAGGCTACCACACCATCAAGAAGAGCTCATACATAACATTTGTCATAAATGACTCAGCACAGTTTTAAAACTTCTGAAGATATCGGCTTCATAATACAGACCAAGCACAAAGCGCGATTCGAGTCGATGGCATCTCCATATGTTGATTATGCTTTGAGAGCTCATATATGATATCTTAATAAGCAGTAAAAAAAAGCAGATATATATCTTTTCTGACGATTAAAACGGGTAATATATCAATTCAAGAATTCATATAGATAATTCCCAGAACAAGTAAGAAAATAATTCTACAATAAATAGCTCAATGATCCTTGCAATGAAATCTCAGCCTGCTAATATCAAATCGGCATAAAAGAAAACCATTCAAAGAAACAAAACTGGTGCTGCCGACTAAAAAAAAAAAAACCAAATTGATCACAACCAAATTACAACAAAACAAAACTGAAGTAAATATCCAAATGAAACTTTTCTTCTTACAATCTATAATGCAGCCCAAAAACAAACCTGCAATCTATATGCCTTGGAGCTCTGGCCACACAGGATAAAGTCGCTTGTACAAGCTCATGCAAACAGTATCATGCTGTTGAACCACCCCATCAAAAATGCACTTCATAGCCCCATGAGTACCAACTGGCTCCTTTACTCGGCCCCTTCGCCCACACTTAGTCCACACATCTACTGGCTTAAACCATCTAACATCCTCTGGATTATGAAACATAAACCTCACTATTGCCTTAGATTTTGAAACTCTTTGTGGATAACCAGTCAAAATTATCTTTTTCAATAAGATCCGATCTGGATCAATACTTCTCAATGAACCAATGGCAGCAACTGAAGGCCCAAAAGAAGCCTCCCCTTTCCTCTCTTTCAAAGCAATAAGAGGCAAAGGAGGAAATGAAATTGGGGCATAAATCGAGGCCACAGAAAATTGACCAGGATGCAAGAACCTCTCCATTTTGTGCTTATCTGAGTTTAAATTATCGGATGAGAATATAGGCCTAGCACTGAATTGGCGAAACCCAACATGAAAGGTTAGGGCTTCCTTGGATTTGATAGGATTGTCATATGAGGCGTGTTTCTTAATGCTGAGGTGCAAAACTGACATTTTCGACTCGTGTTGGAAAAGCCCAGATGAAACAATTGGCCTTGTTTTTGACATGGTTTGAAGATCACAGGCAACAACAACAGGCACTTGCTTGATATGAAGTGTCACATATGAACCTACAGGCACACACTCATCTGAGGCCCCTTCATCCATTTCTTTGGCCTTCCTAAAAACCTGTTTTTGGGTTTTCAAGAAATTACTGAAGGTGAATATTCTGGAATATTCTACTGGTAAAGATTCTTTGGGGTCCCATGAAGAGGTTCTAAAAGACTTGAGGCCTCTGTACTTTGCAAAACGCTTACGAGCTTCAATATCGACTGGCGTGTCCACTTCATCAGGAAATTGTTCATCATCTGCATGAGCTTCTTTCAATCTTTTCATCTCAGCTTCAATATCCTCCTTTGTTAGATTCTCATCTTCAGTCATAGTTGTACCCACCTCTGTTTCTTCATCGAAACCTCTCATGCTAAATGAACCATATATGTGGTCTTCATCAGGGGCTAATCGATCAAAGTGGTCACCTCCTCCTTCATTATCTGCCTCATCCAATACCATGTGATTATTCTCTTCTTCTTCACTTTCAACAGAGTTGTCATCATCTATTTCATCAGCCACAATCCAAGCAGCCTGGTAATCAGAAGTGCCTTTAGGAAGAAAAGTCTTCTTTCTCACCATTCTTTCTCTCTTCTCATCAGCCACAGCTAGGTCTTCTTCTGTTGGCCAAGTCTGCTCTCCAGCAAGAGGGTCTGGTATGTTTTCAACAAGCAAGGGCTCTTGCTTTGAAGCATCAGGAAATAGGGAAAGAACAACCTTTGGACCAGACGAATTGTCTAAATCCATGGAATTTGCGTGATATTTATACTCACTCTGACTAAAAGGATCCTTGACAACATCAATTTGAGATAACTGAAAATCCCCAGCTCCTGAAACATGAACCAACTGGTTCACAGAGAGATTGTGAGCACGTACATAGCCTGAGAGATGGAGAGTGGCCTTCCCTGGCGAAGAATCATCAGCAATGAACTCAACTTCATGAGCCATAACATAGGGTCGCATGCTTCGCCAATGAGGCGTGGTGAGACGTTGGTCCTTCAAAAGCCATAAGAATTTACGCAGCTCCTCCTTTGAATCAGCTGGAAAGAACTTGCAATCCTCAGGGAATTGAGAAGAAAGACTAGATGTGCATGTCTTCTTCGTTTCGCTTCTTTTTTTTTGATCGGTAGGTAGGTCAAGAATCAAAACAGCTGAACTGGGTAAGCCTAGTGCTCTGAAGATAGTGAGGCATTGACTCCCAAAAGAATCAATGTAACTATTAGAATTAGATCTACCTTCAGAGGAAGAGCTCGCTGATGCCACAAAAGCAATCAGATCAGCAACCTTAGCCATTTCAATGCAAGACGTGAGATCTCCATGAGGAGCTTCCATAATTGTGGCTCGAAACTTGAATGTGGGCGAAGAGATGGTCATGGCTCCCACTCTGTTATCAAACTCCAAAGCACCATTTTCCTCATATTCAGACGATAGCAATGTCAGGAGACCATCTGAAAGAGATTTAACGTCCACAGATGAAGAAAGGCCAAACAGGACAATGACACGAGGAGGGCTTGCGAATCCAGTAGAGGCCCTCTTTTCCTTCAAAATGGCAGCCCGTTTTTTATCACGCAACATTTTGTTTCGTTGAATACGAGTAGCACGAGCACCCTTCAAGACATTCTGTTGGTTGGTTTTGGAAATTCCCCTCCTATCCAGGCCAGAAGTTTTGTGAACTTGTCGAGATGATTTAGAGGCAAACCGGCTCTTGTGAGCCTTATTGATCTGAGCACGAGAAGCCCCCATAATAACTTATTCTATGTGTACCAAGACTGATATCAACACCTGTGATACAACGCAAGGAAGAAATCTTAATGTCAAGATTGTTGAAAAATAGGCATTTAATGCATACGATTGCGACATTTTAACATAATTATGAGACAAATAAATAGTGACTTGTTCAATGCAGCTCGAAAAAAATAGTACAAAAAGTTAACTGGTTAACTTTAGAAAGAGTATGTTAAAAACAAGGTTTCAGTTTTTCCAGATTCTTTAACTCACACACACAAGAGGATAATATACAAACACTAAGATCGTTTTTCAGCTACACTTGAATACCGAGGGTGAAAGTATGCACGAGCAAAAGTATGCAAAAAGCTTTGTATATAAAGAGATAGTTTATAAGGGAAAGCTTTCTATGTTCCCCCTACAACATAGAAGTTCTATCATCCCCCTTAACCAACCGTCCATTTTTTAATGGAGGGTTAAGATTTCTCCAATCACAATGTCACGTCTCTGCACTATTTTATTTTTAATTTTTTTTCTATAAACTATTTTGACTCCAAATTTTGGATGTCCATTCCTCTATTAAACTCGCACTAACGAAAAATATAAAAAAATATTTTCAATAAAATAAAATGACCAAAATACCCCTGAAATTTTCAAGGGGTATTTTGGTCATTATTTTTTATCGAAAAATTATTGTTAATATTTTTTATAGGTGCACCCCAATGAGAAGATGGCACGTACCAAATTTCATATTCAGAAAATTTGTATTAAAAAAACTAAAAATAAAATACTTTGAGACGTCAGATCTAAGATCAAATGCTGAGTGGCTCTACTGATAAAAAATGGACGGCTGGATGGTAGGGGGAGGATAGAACTTCTATGTTGTAGGGGGAACATAGAAAGCTTCCTCAATTTATAAATGGGGATAGTCAATATAAATGGTGATATAACATATGTAAGACGCTTTTTTTCTTGTGAGCAATGTTCAAAAAGGAGTAGGCAGGCGACTGGGTGCTCGCCTAGAAACAAGGACGGGTGGACTTTAATTAAGATAAAAGTTATATTATAATTATTATTTATTAATTAATATCCATAAGATTTGGTTTTGGATATCAAATATTCACAAAATATAAATTTCATCCAAAGTTTATAAGTATTCACAAAATATAAGTCCAAATCGGTAAATGTTCCATTGGTAAATGTTCCATCTACAAATATGTTCAAAAATAAAAAAGTAAAACAAAACCAATAGGATATCAAAACATCACACATAGTACAAAATAAGAACCAATTATTCTTTTAATAAAAGAATTCGATATAGGACCAATCGCATCATCCAAACAAATTTACTAATCAATTAATCACAAAAAAAATCAATCTTTCAACTACAAAAAGGTAAATATATCATAAAAGGAAAAAAAAAGTTAAAAAAAGCAAAATCAAATGATTCAAAATATAATACGTTATAGCAAACAAGCTCAAAATCCTTATTCAAATATCATAATGCTCTAAAATATCAAAATGAAAACGATGTCGGCCCAAACTTCGTCTATTCAATCACCAAAAGTCCTCAAAATTGACTATTAGAAGCTCCAAAAACACCCACGAACTATTGTCTTTGTTTCAGGAAGAAATCGAAAATTTACCGATCTTTCGATAAATCACAAAATAGAGGTTTTTGGGGAGTTTTCTCTCTAGATGGCAAGGATTTGGTTTTAGGGGTTTAGAATATCCCCCAAAACCCTTTTCTCCCCTTTTTAGGGGGAAAAAAGACTAATTTTGACCCTAGCTGAGGGCATTTTTCCGCCCTAGGCAGCATGCCTTGAGGTGACACCTAGGTGGCCACCTAGACTGTAGTGCCTAGGCGGTGCCTTGCCTGCCTAAGTGGGTGCCCAGACGCAGGCCACCTAGGTGCTCTGCCTAACGAGCGCCTAGGCATTTTAGCAATTTGGCTGCCTAGGCGACCACCTACGCGGCTGGGCGGCCAAATTTTTGAACATTGCCTGTGAGTGAGCATAAAGGTCGTTAGATTTAAGGAGTCCTTTCTTCCTAAGTCCTGCTTGTTATAGTTAGATGTTCAGAAAATTTCATGGGCACATGGAAATATTTTATCAAACATAAGTTTATTGGAAGCCAAAACATAATCAACAGACTGCTAAAATAATACAAAGGATCAAGGAAAATAGGTATGCTTGTCCATCTTGACATGCATCCTGAGCAACGCAAATGAACCATTAGCAAACCCAATCGTTTCCTTCAATGGCATAAGCCTGCCTAGAAGTTGCTGATTTTCAAAACCAGAAAAGATAATATTCATGATAAAAAATAGAAGGTAAAAAACCATCAATTTTGATAACAAGACGAACAATTAAGAGACTGCAGCCCATTTATGAATGAGCCAACCATCAAAGCAAATTACCAGGTTGATAGTCAATAAGGATTCGTGAAAAATTATACAGGAACAGTGGTTCACATGCTTCCTTGGATAAACACCAATACCACAAAAACCACTAAGCATCTGAAATAAACAGAAACGAAGATAACCTCACATCTGGAAAGCCACATAAGAAGGACCAAGCAGGCTTGATATTCCCTACACACCAAACTAAATATATATTGGCATTTAAATCACGTGAAATAACTTGAATTAAAAACTAAATGTACTATTCTCTTTGCGATAGATACTTATATTCCTAAGAAAGAGAAATTTTTAACAATAAAGATTTGGGCAACATGCATAAATAGACACACTAAGATGAACACACTGAAACTCTCACTTTTTTCTTGGAAAAAATTCATTCAATCCAATACATATAAAGATATATAGATTACAAGAGTGGGGTCATTCACACTGCAACTCTCATCTTACCCATGATTGTGTAAGCTTACAAACAGGAAGGAGAAAGCAATTAACAATCATCACAATAAGATGAACTCATCTATAAATACAAAAGAAGAAGAAAAAAATACTGAACAAAAGCATGAGTATGTAATGAACTAAATGACGAAACAAATTCTCCCAATCAAGTCTTATAAGCCACCACAAGTTTCTGAAAATAGAAAATGTTGAGTAAATTCCTCTAGATATTCATATCAGTGAAGAAATAAATAGTGCATATTTTAAGAAGAACACTGCTATGTACAAACCCAGGACTATAAATTTGTAGAGAGAGAGAAAAGCCATAAGCAACTCTAAATAGGATAGCATATATATAATAAATGAAGAAAGAATGTTATAAGAGAAAATGGCTTTCAATCAAAAAGTGTATACACAACATCCCTTTGATAAGAAACCACACACACACACAACCCAATGGTACAAAAGCTCAAACAGAATGGGAATGCCTTTTGGAGTTCATGAACATACAACCACCCAATGCCCTCGGTCTCTTGCTATCTTTTTCCCTAAAAATTCTAAGATTACATAGGTAATAAAGTCCAGCACCCAATGCTCTCTCTCTCTCTCTCTCAAAACACCCCAAGAACACCTTGTTATCACAAAATAATGGTGGGCTACTCTCTCTCTCTCTTATCACAAATAAGGTGGGCTACTAATGAATTGAACAAAATAAGGATTTGAGCCTTCTGGCATTGGAGAAGATTGTGCTATTGGCATATCATAATCATCAGGAACTGATTGTCTACTTACATTTCTACATATATAAACATAAAAGAGTGGAAATTCACCATACATTAGCGATGTGGATTCATGGTAACAGAACTGGCATCCATGAACTTGAACTTTTTTCAAAGAAAAAAGAAATCACCCAGAGATTGGAATGCCTATGCTTAGAAACTCCTTGAACTCACTGTGTGCTTTCTTTAAACATGTGACCCCACTATATGCTTGTTTCTTTGTTTTTCCTTTCATTTAATTTAGTAATTGGATTCAATCTAAAGATTAAGAGGAAGTTTGAGTACCTAGAAATACATTGTGCGGCGAAATTCATTGCTAGTGAACTAAAGAGAAAAGCATTCAAAACGTAGCTTCAAAATTCATAGGAAGTTTACTCAGGAAGCATTTGAGAAGAATATTTTCAAGTTTTAGTATATAATGGTGGCTTCATTTCTCAATACCCTTGTAGTTAAAGGGCTCAAGCATGGCTCACTAATGATAACAAAGCTTTCAATCAATGATATTTTACAGAATGTTTTTTTTTCTTCACAGATATTTTACAGAATGTTAAGAGTTCCAAACTGTAAACCACCCAGATTGCAACCCCCACTTTACTTGTGACAGTTTATTACTTTCTCAATGTCCCTGCTTACCAAATACTTACTAAAATCTAAACTGATGAAAGATATTTATGCAAAATAGTACCCATCCATTATCTTAATTTTGAAATGACTTGGAGGCTTCATTTGATAGTTTTGAAAGTCAATCCGACTCAGCTCTTTCTAGTTTCAGGATAAAATTGAAAAAAGAAAAATTCAAGGAACTGTAAAAAACACAAAATGCCATCTATACAACATCAAAAAACCAAAAAGAAATAATAATAATAATAACAAATAAAACCAGAAAAATACAACAAAGAAAAACCCATACCCATAATTTTTCTGTAGTACAAATTGTGCTTCTATACTCAATAAAATAAGCTAAAAAAAAAAAAGAAAAAAAATCAGCACCATCTAGAGGGAAAAACCAGGAAAAACACAAGAATAAAATCAATACCATTGTTGAAGAAGATGAGGTATTTTGTATAAGGGTTCGTATGAGGTAAACCCTACCTTGTATGGTGAAGAATCTAATAAAAGAACACCAGCCAAAAACAAAAGGCGTACCTTGTTGAAGAAGATGAAAACTTGATCCTCGCTTGTGGGTCTGTGAGAGACGACACAGAGGATTGAGAGAGAGCGGCGAGGGACGCTGCGCGACGGAGAAAGCAGGGCTTTTGTGAAGGTAGGGCTTTGAGGCTGCAGTTTTTTTTTTTTTTTTAAACAATTGTTTCATGCGGGGCTGGACCGCATTTCTACAATAAGGTATAAAACTATAAAGCATCCCTCTAAAAATAATTGTAACTACCCGTTCAAATGTTTTTTTAGCATAATTATTATTTATAGTTTTAAAAATTTATTTATTTTTTTATATTCATGATCTCATGTTAAAGATTATATATTATCTTTAAATTAAGATCAAATTATATTTTAAAAATATATTTATTACCAAGTCCGTATTTCTACAATATGCGGGCTGGCCGCATGTTAACTACATCCTTTTTTTGTTTTTTTTTGTTATTTTTTGTGGTTTCATCATCATGGGGTTCCGGTTAATTGGATTGAAATTTTTTGATATCAAAATTACGTTTATCATAAAATTAGAGGTGCAGCACATTTAGATAATTTAAGGTTACAACTTTATGCAAATCACTTCTTCTTCTTTTTTAATTTGAATTTTTGCAAACCATTTAAAACCTAATAGATGATTTCTTTTGGAATTTTTTTTTTTAATTTTGAGCTTTTTAATACTTAAATCCCATTCTTTACAAACTAGACGATTTGTGTTCAATCTTGAGACATCAAGTGCATAAAGAGTACCATTAGGAAATTCTTTTCATTGGGATAAGCGTATGACTTGAATAGGTTACATCCCCAAAATTAGGGGTTTGGAAAGTTAGGTTTTACTAAGGAAATAAATGAATATTATACCGTGGGAGTATAAATTTAAAATTGAAAAAACTTCTTTTAAAACAAATTTCCATCCCAGAAATTATTTTATCAAGCAGTAAAGATGACCATTTTTGAAAAAATGGCCCTCGAGCAGTAAAGATGACCCTCTTGGCCTATGTAGCCAACAAAAAATCCCCCTCTTTACCAGATGACTAAAGTTTTCCCAAGCACTAGTCACTGCACCCGATACCGAGCCCTCGTTGGCTAGCAGACCAACCGGGTCTGCTACCTACTGGTTCAGCAAATCCTATCTCTGTCAGAATGGTATAGCAAAAGAACAATATTGTTTTATGTACTGCTGTTTTGGTAATAAGCAATACTAAAAGCTAAGATCTCCAATTAATAGTATTGGGCCAAGCCGGGATGTTGGAACTCTTAAAAGGGTGTACAAAAAAAGAAATTATTGATAAAATTTCAGGCGCCAAAATAGAGTCTTAGTTAATTATTTGCAATTTTAACCTATATTTGTGTAATTTCTGTCAGCCCCAGTGCATGCATCCATTTATATTGTGCTTTGAGTGTGTCTATCTCTATTATGACAATGTATACAATAAGATTGTTTTTATATGAGTATGTCACAATCATTATCGAGTGTTAGATATAAAATTGGGTGATTGAGGGTATGTCATCGATTGAACATAAAGTAAAAAATAAAATGTCTCGAATGTTGTGATGTGCTTCAATCTATTTGATTTTATATTTATTGGTTAAAAATAATAGTAACTTTCTTGTATCAAAAAATAATGGTATCGTAGTATACAATACCAAGTTCTTTTTGAGAAACGACCAACGACCATGTTTTGTTTCAATTAGGGTTTGCTTTATTTTACTTTACATTCTTTTCATCCATTAAGCCTATCAAAAACGAAAATCTTTGTCTACAAGTTTCGTCCCTTAACCGTACTCAAAACGAAGTTAAATTCTATTAATAACCAATGATGCATTTCGAAGTATTTATAGCCACCAGAATGAGTTAGTATATGAAGAATACCTTATGGATTCACTTGATGTCCTTCATTTTTTTTTTAGGTTAATCAATAGGGGAGAAGGCCCTCTGCTGGTTTGCATTTAAAAAGATAAATAAATACAACTCATAAAGTAAAGGAAGGGAAATAAAATCCAGTGGTCTAACGCGCCAAACTGTAGCATCAAAATAGCACGTAGCCTTTTTGGCCAGTGAGCCCGCTTTCATATTAGCCTCGCAATAGATATGGAAAATAGACCACATACAATTTCAAAGATTATGTCTACAATTGATTGATACTGTGTGGAGTGCTCATGGGGCATTACATCGGCTTTGAATAACATTGACAAGAGGAGTCGCTATCAATTTGCACTAGGAAGCAGTCACATTGAATAGTCGATGGCCTCTATGAGGGCTTGAAATGTCGCATAGTTATTGTATGCAATGCCAAAAAGAGTGGCGAAAGTAGAAATAAATGCACCATCATCGCTTCTGATTACGCCCCACCCCCTGTTAGTCCTGAATTTTGTAAAGAGGATCCATCAATATTCAACTTAAAATGATGGGGGCGAGGAAAAGGCCATACAATCAAAATAAGTGATTTGGACTGTTGTTGGCACTATGTGATTTGCAGATTTTCAGTAATTGCTTTTTCTGATATATGGAACGTCCATGCTTTGACATCTGATAACTCAAACATGTGAGGTGATCCTCCTTAGCAATTGCTCTCACCTCGATGCCTTCATCTGAAATTTTTTGTGGTGACGACCTTCCATAAGAACCAAATTGTAGTGAAGAAAAGAGAATTCCAGATACCAATGAGACCATCTAATTTGAATCCAAAAGCAAATCCAATTTCTAAGCATGGTTGCAATAGATGGTCTTAGGGTAAAACGTTTTTCACATCTCCATGCCACTTATCTCGGAATACCCTACGAGAAAGCATATTGAAATGAAAGATGACAGATTTTTTTCTATAATTTTCAACCATATATAAAAGAAAATTCATTAAAAAATACTACACATAAAACTCGAAAGGGCAAAACTACGTTCGATGAGAAAAAATAACATTGAGAGGTCGGCAAGTGCTAATGAAATAGAATGATAGAAATGAAAGCAAGACTGTATGGATAAAGACTAATGGAAGGTGGATATTCCATGGAGATTTATTTTTAATTCTAAATGAAATTCAAGACTTGTGCAGGGCAAAAATGTCTCTTTTAAGCATGCGCTTAGTTAGCTTAATCTCGCTGCAGATGAACTTGATAGACAAGGATTAGAGGGGATTTCCTAGTTGTAAATTGATTTTCATAAATTGGTTCATACTAGCTGTCTGTTAAATAAGAAAAAGTATACAATATGATCATTTACTTTTGGTACAAAGAGGTCATAATTAATATTGACCATTAAATGTGAAATTGGATGACTGCATTTATTCCATTGACCAAGCTCAAACTTCAAAATAAAATTTGTTGAACTTTGTGACACACCCAAGCTATCAGATTTCACATAAGATGGATATAAATAATTGTGACCTCCTTGTATCAAAGATAAATGATCTCATTGTATACAATCCTATTTAATAAATAGTTAGCAATTGTTGAAAATAAGCAAGAAAAAAAGAAAAAGCGAGAAAGCCTAATAAAATATGCAGCAAATTAAGTTTCCAAAAAAAAATTTAAATATATTCATGACAATCAATTTAGGGTTACAATGGACACTCACAAGGGTTTACGAAAGGTCTTTGGGTGTAAATTTGTTTGGGATTGTACATTATGAGATCATTTATCTTCCTTATTAGGAGGTCACAATTGTCACTAGCTATTAAATGTTAAATTAGACGGCTTGGAGTGCATCATATAGTTCAAATTTTTTTTTAACTTTGACCCTAGTTAACAAAATGCTCACCATCAAACCAATTTGAAATCTACCCAACATCATTGATTGTAATCTCTTTAAAGTAAATGGTATCTTTACATACATTTCCAGTTTATTTTGTATAATGTCCCACAGAATTAATAAAGCTAAGATTAATTTATTTTATATATTTTTTTAATATATCTGTATATCTAGTGGCTAGAGGTCTTTTTTTTTAGAGTAAAACTAATCTTTTAAGGTTTATTTTTTGAGGTGCACCTCACTTCTATCTTATACGGTTAAGACCTTGTATAAACTTCTTCTTAACATAATCATAAACACAAAGAGAGCAACTTTATTCACAAATCTAGAACTGTAATTCCACTTTTGGGAAGAACAACTGTTACCATGAATAATTCAAAAGAATCGTTTCTTAAAAAATGCAAAAGTGGCACACCATATGACCACCAATTTTTCTCTAAGACCACATGATACTTTTTTCAAAGACCAAAATTTTCCCCCTAAGAATCACGGAAGACCTTTTGTGCTTAAATTATATTAAAGTCCCAAAAGGGTTATCACTTCCATAACAGAGTGATGCTATCAGCCATTTAAACCTCGAATTTTAGCAAAGACCGCATAGACTATTCTCTTGTGGGAGCATATATCATGCCCCTACTCCCTCACTCAAAAGACTTGCTTGGGGGATCTTTTTCAGTGAGAAATTTAGGGAATGAAATAAGAACACTAGATGATTATTTTCAAAATAAAAAAATTGAATGTTGGTTTTGGTGACACTTAGATCTCGCCTTTCAAAATTTGAACGGTCTTTATTCAATCTTTAGACATTCTTTTTTTTTTCTACTAAATAGAGATTTTAATTCCAATTTTTTTTGTGAGGTTAGTTTATGGGTTGAAGAGAATACATCCTCAACATTTAGAGTCCTAAATTTACACCTTTATGTGAGGAGTAAATGGATAGTATACTCCTATAGGAGTATAAAGTCGCATTTCAAAACCCCACTTGGAAATGTTGTTCTGATGGCAGAAATCCTATCGATAGGCCCAAAAATCAATTTTTTTGCCTCCCGTTATAAAATTTGAAACTCCAAAAATAGAGCAAATGCTTAACAATTAAAAATAAATGGTCCAAATAAGGGCAAGCTTTATATGCTTCCCCTACAGCATAGAAGTTCTATCCTCCCCCTTATCCAACCCTCCATTCTGAATAGAAGGTTAAGATTGTCTCAATCACAATATCACGTCTCTACACTATTTTAGTTTTAATTTTTTTTTACCAACTATTTTGACACCAAATTTTGGACATCCAATCCTCCATTAAACTTGCACAAGCGAAAAGTATAAAAAAGATATTTACAATAAAATAAAATGACTAAAATACCTTTGAAATTTTTAAGGGGTATTTTGGTCAT